GTAAACACTGTTCCGCCACCGGAGCTAGAACCCATAACGAACTACAAATCGGGAGGTACCGTTATATGGGGCAATCGCAAAACGTGGACCGATATACCTCATCTCATCCTAGACACAATGAAAACTACTGTTTTAAATTTTAAAGCGTGATTTCAACAGGCAGACAGGCCTCGTTAAATCGACTTGTATGAATGTATACTTTATGCGGTCTACGGCGGATATTTAGAGGTGTTACAAACAGAATGACAAGTTTAATATACCCTCCTCCCCAAGGTGGAGGGTATAAATCAAGTAAAAAAGCAATAAGTTCATCCGGGTCGAACTTTGAATACCCTCCACCATTTGGAACGAATTAGGACATTTTCAAAAAAAAAAAATAATAATAATAATAAATAAATAAATTAAATTCCATTAAAAGTTCTGTAAAAATCTTTAAAATACCTAATATCGGAAGGTGCCGATATAAGGGGGGGGATATACGATATTGTGGATCTATATAGACAAATCTATGTCTAAAGGTAAAGTACTCACAAAGAACTCTTTGTTAGAATTTCAGACAATTCCGTCGAAAAATGTGGAAATATAGGGGCTATACGATATCGGGGACCTATATAGACAATTTTCTTTCAGGGAGAACTCCTCGTGTGGATTTTCAGACTATTCCATTGGAAAATGTGGCTAAAATTATCAAAATATCGGATATCGGGGGGTATCGTTATATGGGGGCTATATGAGAGCGTGGACCGATATAGCCCATCTTCGATCTCGACCTGCCTGCTGACAAAAGGGGGATCTGTGCAAAATTGGCTTTCTATCTTAATTTGTTTTGACTGTAGCGTGATTACAACAGACGGTCGGACATCGTCTTAGAATTTTACGCTTATCAAGAATATATATACTTTGTTGGGCCAAAAAAGATTATTTCGATGAATTATAAACGGAATGACGAACTTAATATACCCTCCATACTATGTATGGTTAAAAAAAAACGTTAAGAAAATTTCGTCAAAAAGTACTGTTTAAATAAAAACCTTTATATGGGGGTTATGCGCAATTTTTTGTCTTAGCCATTAGAACAAATACGAAATATAAAGCAATTTCATTGAATAATGTCGCTAATATCAACAAAATACCGAAAAAAGTGTGGTATACGAATACGTGGACCTGCATATATAATTTTCTGTCATGTCAAGTATCTATTACGAACTTTAAATACAAAATTTGAAACAATTCCAGTAAATAATGTCTCTAAAATCAGCAAAATACCGAATATCGGGAGATATCGTTATATGGTGGCTGTACAAAGGCGGGGTCCTGCATACGCAATTTTTTGCCACTGGCTTTAGTACGTATTATGATCTTTAAATACGAAATTTGAAACAAATCCAGTCTATAATGTCTCTAATACCCATTAAAATACCGAATATTAGGAGGTACTATTATATAGGGACTATTCGGACATGAACATCTTCCACTTTGAAACAATTCCGGTCTATAATGTTGCTAAAATCATAAAAATACCGGATATTAGGGATACCGTTATTAGGGGGCTATCCGAAAACGTGGGTCATGCCTGTCCCACTGACAAAGTACACATGTGTTTTTAGCCTTCTATCTCTATTCGTTCGTGATTACAATACACAAGCAGACGGACATCGCTTAATGGGCTTAGAATTTTACGCTGATCATGAGTATATATACTTTATGGGGTCTACGACGAATATTTGGGGATGTTATCCATAATATGGTGGAGGGTATGAAAATATTTTTATAAAAATCAATATACACTGATTTATCTTTAACATTCTATTTCATATACATCGTTTGACAATCAGTTCTGATATTCAAAATACTGAAAATCAAAAATTCTGCTTAATATTCAAAGTACATGTTATGCCAATTAAAAAAAAGTGCAAAAAAGAGATATACCGCTTTATAATAAAATACAAAAATTTAAGAATCAAACATACTGTCTGATTTACAAATGCACCATTTAGTTATCAAATGCACTTTTTCATCGATTATCAAATGCCCCGAACTTGTTAATAAAATACAATATTTTATAATCAATAATTTACAACTGATATTTAAAGAACTTTTTTAAAAATCGAATGCAGTGCTTGATATTCAATTTCGATAATCAAATAAAATGTTAGCAGTCATATATACGGCTTGATAATAAAGTGCGATTTTGAATAATCAAGCATAATATTACGTAATTTGGGTTTAATATGGATGTTATATTATTCCCCGATTCAAGTTGCTTCAAACAAAATGAAGCCCTTTTTAAAATGCGAGTCTTACAATTCTGTATTCAATAATTCAGACACGTTATAGTGTGATTTTTTAAATTTGGCTGGAAAACCACAAGTGGCTATTGTTAGAGCACTCCAGCATATAAATCTAAATAAATCTTTTGTGTCTCGCACCATTGCTCGTTACCGTGATACTGGTAGCGTAGCCCGAGGCCAAGAAAATGAACGCAAGAAAACAGCAACATCAGCAGAAATGGTTCGAAAAGTAAAGAAGCAAATTGATCGAAACCCGCGTCGCAGTGGCTCGTGAGCTGAACATATCGCAATATTCCATTCGGCAAATATTGAAAAATGAGCTCAGGATAAAGCCATTGAAATTGCAAAAAGTGCAAGAACTTACACCGCAACAGACTCAAAAGAGCTAAAGAGTTGCTTCGTTTGGCCGAAAGTGGTGAACTGCCGAACTTGGTTTTCTCCGATGAGAAAACATTCTTTGTTCAGCAGTTTGTAAACAAACAAAAAGATCGTGTTTACTTGCCAAAGAGGTCAGCTGAAAATGTGCACCTTCGATTGGCCACAAGAACTCAAGCGTCTGCCATGGTGATGGCGTGGGCCGCCATAACAGCCGATGGTCACTCTCCGCTCGTATTAATGTCGTATATTATGGAGAAAATATTCTGGAATGTGTATTGAAGCCTTGGACACGCAAACATTTTGACCGCAGACCTAAGATATTCCAGCAGGACTCAGCACGTGCCACCCAAGAATGGTTACAAAATGAGGATCTTCGCTTAATTTCCAGCGCATATTGGCCACCAAAATCTCCGGATACCAATCCGTTGGACTATTGTGTGTGGAGCATTTTGAAAAGCAAGGTTGGCACTAAAAATGGGCCAAAATATCGCAGAGCAACATTCGGGCAGCGTGTGACATTTTCATTTGCCGTTTGAAGGCCATAATTCGTGCCAAAGGTGACCTATTCGAAGAAATCCAAATTTATTCTAATATTTGATGCTACTTCCGACATTTTTGCTTTCATTCAAAAAATTTAAAAAATGTAAAAATTATGTATATTCAAAATATTTATTCGAGGAAGAAACTTAAAAAAATTGTCGAAAAATACGTTTTAAGCGAAAACCGTTATATGGGGCCATACGAAGACGAGAACCTGCATACGCAATTGTTCTATCCTCCACTATGGTATGAATGCTATATTAAGTTTGTCAAATCACTCTAGCTTTGGTTTTGGTATAGCCTCCATATAACGGTACATCCCGATGTTCGGTATTTTTATGATTTTAGCGACATTATTCACCAGAATTGTTTCAAATTTGGTATTTGATGTTCGTAATGGATACTACAGCCAATGACAGAAAATTGTCTGTGAAGGTCCGCGTCATCGTATAGCCCCCATATAACGGTACCTCCCGAATTCGGTACTTTGATGATTTTAGCGTCCTTATTCACCGGAATTGTTTCAAATTTGGTATTTTAAGTTCTTAATGGATACTACAGCCTATGACAGAAAACGTTATGTGCAGGTCCACGTTTTGGTATAGCCCCGATATAATAGTACCTCCCTATATTCGGTATTTTGATGATGCAGGTCCACGTCGTCGTACATTCGGTATTTGTAATAGGCTGTACCCATTAAGACCTTCAAATAAGAAATTTAAAACAATTTCGTTGAATAATGTCGCAAATATCATCAAATATATGTAGGCCATACGAAGACGTGGACCTGCATAGACAATTTTCTGTCATAGGTCAAAGTATCTATTACGAAATTTTAATCGTAATAGATACTTTGAATATCGCCGCTAAAATCATCAAAATACCAAATATCGTGATGTTTCGTTATATGGTGGCTATACGAAGACGTGGACCTGTAAGCGAATTTTTTTGTCATAGGCTTTAATATCCATTACGAACTTTAAATACGAAATTTGAAACCATTCCTGTCTGTAATACCAAATGTCTCTAATACCAAAAAAATACCAGATATTGCAAGGTACTTTTACGTGGACCGGCATAAGAAATTCGTAGTTAGGTTGTAGTACCCATTAAGATACAAAATTTGAAACAATTCGGGTGAATAACGTCGCTAAAATTATCAAAATATCGAATATCGGGAGTTATCGTTTTGTGGGGGCTATACGAAAACGTAGACCGACATGTTCCATTTAAGAACTTACCTACTGGAAAATACACATGTGTGCAAAATGTTAGCCTTCTATCTCAATCCGTTTGAAAGATAGCGTTATTACAACAGACAGACGGAAATTCCTAAATCTATTTAGATTTTCACGTTGATCTAGAATATAAAAACTATATAGGGTCTGTCATAAGTATTTCGAGGAGTTACAAAGGGAATGGCAAAGGGTATATACCCTCCATAGAATGGTGAAGGATATAATAACAGTAGGAGTCAAAATGTTTAAAATGGAGTAAGAATTTACCCTGAGAGTGAAATCGAGTGAAAATAATTGTTTTGTTTTCTGAATTGTATGTCCGTGTGTACCCAACAGGTCTGTCATATTCTTTGTTGCTTCAGATTGACGACAATGCGTTCTAAGACATTAGTTTTTGATCCGAAGTAGCTCTTAGAAAAACAGAGAATGTTCCAGGCGTTCTCCCGCTCGAATTTGAAAAAGGAGTGAAAGTGGCGTAAATACGAGTATTTCTAAGCTCTGCCTAGGATATCAGTCTAACAAAGATTTGCAGAGATTCTGCTTCTGAGCTTACCTTTATCATATTGCCCTCTAAATGGAGCAGTATTGTTCGTGTAGTACTTGATTTGGAGCTTAAGATGACGGTTAACCGATTTTTCTTTCGGATGCTAGATAGAAATATGTTCAAGAAACTTCATCCTCTTTGCTGCAATAAAATTCAGACACTCGTCATCAGAATCCCACTTCCCTTCTCTTGCTTGGTCCCACATTTACCTTCATGATTTTCTTCTTATTCTGGTGTTTATTTGTTGTTGGTGGACTTAGACTGCTCCTTTCATGTTTTCAGTCTTCTCCTTTGAATTTGCTCCCAATAATTGTTTCACGTTTTTATATAGCCACCATTAGAGAGGTGCCGATGGCTTTTAGGTATTCTTTATTAGGATCCATTATTAGGCAATAAGAGACTTCAATGCTCAATATTTATCCTCTTTTAAATATTGAAATTGAATACATATTTCAACCGGAAAATTTTTCATTTTTGACATATTTTTACAGAGCTCCTGCCAGTATTTTATAAAAATATTCTTGAATTTCAGATCACTTGTCGTATTCTTTATATTGGAGTGACTCGGAACGGCATGTTGTTGAAGTTCTCTCGCTGCAAACCAAACAACGAGCCATTGTTTCGTTTTTCTCGGGCATAGAGGTTCCCATAGGCCTGGCTGTCATACCGGACGATGGGTAAGTTCAGATAACGACAATACAAATTTCTAAGCTTTTCCAAATCAATCAAGTTTTAATGTATCACTTTAAAATTGTTATTTTCAGAATTATGTTTATTGCGTTGAGATCGCGGCACCATGTCCACATCGATCAGAAATCGTTAAGTGGCACGGGGGAACACACTCACGCCTTCGAAGATGAGTTGGGCGATGATGATATTCGTTTTGCCACCGATTTTGAAACAAAAACCCTCTATTGGGCCGATAGTGATTTTGGCCGTATCTCCTTTTCCGATTATCGCAATTTAAGGGCCTACACTTTTCGCGGTCGCCTAAAACGTCCATATTCCATTGCCATTGTTGATGAAGACTTGTTCTGGACAGAATTGAATTCGAATATTATTCACTGGACGCATAAAAGCAACATGGGACCATTGAAACGTTTCGATATTGAAGTAAATCGCGAATTGTATAGCAGCGTATCTTTGCCTGCCAAAATTCCCATATTGGCCAGTTCGTCACCAATTGTTGTGGATCATCCCTGCCAGCATTGGAACGGTGGTTGTTCACACATTTGTGTAACATTGGGTAAATTTGCCTCGGCATGCCTTTGTCCGGCTGGTTTGGTATTTCGCGATGCCACCAATCGTAGCTGTATTGAGGCACTGGATTGTGAATTCCGTTGTAATTCTGGCGAATGTTTGACATTGTCGAGAAAATGTAATGGACGTAAAGATTGTCCTGACGGTTCGGATGAAGAGAATTGTGAAAATGGCAAGGGTCATAAGCCGCAAGTCATCTGTACCATGGGCGAATTTAGATGCCACAATGGTGAGCAGTGTGTGGAAGGCGATCAGCGTTGTGATGGCAAGAAACAATGCCAAGATGGTTCCGATGAGGAGCATTGCGAGAAATTTGGTAAGTTTGGATTTGTTAAGTCGGTTTGTAAATCTGATTTTGAAATGGTTTTCTTAGATAAATCAAAATTCTGTCACCGCCATCAGCATGTCTGTGATAATGGCAATTGTGTGGACTTTAGTGTCATGTGTGATGGTTTCAATGATTGTGGTGATAATTCCGATGAGGCCGACTGTCGCCTGGCCCGAGGCAAAGATGTGACCAACCCCAGGCGCATATGTGGCCCAGATATGTTCCAGTGCAATTCCGGTACCTGCCTCTCAAAGAGTTGGGAATGTGATGGAAAAATTGATTGCAAGGATGGATCCGATGAACATGAGAAGTGTGGTAAGTAGAAGTAATTTAACCTCCAAAGTAAGAAATTGTGTGAAGCTCCTTAAAGTATGCTACAAAATTGCTCAACATAAATGTAGAAAAACCAGCTTTACATATGACTTTAACATTATGTGTATCCTAGCCTTAAGTAATATATAAAATACCATCTCATTTGCATCTTCCATCTTTCAGGTATTCGAGAATGCCCTCCGAACATGCACAAATGCCTGTTGGGCCAATGTATTGATCGACGGCTGGTGTGCGATGGCAACAATGATTGTGGCGATACTTCGGATGAAATGAATTGCGACATGACGGCGGGCAAAAAACGTAAAATGGCTTGCGGTGATGATCGCGTGCCCATGTTTGAGTGTCCCAGTGATCCAAATGTTTGCCTAGATATGTCGGCCAAATGCAATGGCACCGCCGAATGTCCACGAGGCGAGGACGAGGTAGACTGCGGCAATATTTGTAGTATCTATGAATTCCATTGTAAGACAAGCAAGGAATGCATTCGCAATGAATTCACATGTGACCACGAGAAAGATTGTGCCGATGGTTCGGATGAAGAGAACTGTGATCATCATGGAGCCTGGAATCGTACCACAAATACAAAACATTCCCATGAAATGGCTTGCGGTCCCAACATGTTCGACTGTAAAGATGGACAGTGTGTTGACGAGTCACGGGTCTGTAATGGTTTCGATGATTGTGACACGGGCGCGGATGAAGGTCCCCTGTGTAAGACCGCCTGTGATGCCCAGGCTGGCCATCCAGTGTGCCAAAACAAATGTCGTCCCACACCCTCGGGGGCGGTTTGTTCATGTTTCAGTGGCTACAAACTTGATGCCGATCATCGCAGCTGCTTGGACATCAATGAATGTCAGGAAATGGATCCATGTGCCCAGTTATGTGAAAATACCATGGGTTCCTATCGTTGTTCTTGCTTCCCCGACTTTATGATGCGTCCCGATAAGACTTCGTGTAAATCTATTGAAAGTGAAAGATCATTGTTGTTCACCACCTTTGATGAGGTACGCAGTATGACGGAACAACCGATTGTCTTGAAGGTGGCTTGGAAGGCCAACGATTCCAAGGTTCTAGGATTCGACGTTAATATACGTTTGCGTAGAGGTTATTTCACCACAGAGGGTGAGAATGTTTTGTATATGGTCGATATTGATAGTGGTGAGATTAAGGCGGCCTTGGAAGTTCAAATGCCAAGCAAAGTCGGAGTGGATTGGATAACGGGTAAGTTGGGATAGCGATGGCTAAAATTTTGCACACGTGTTTATTTTTCCAGTAGGCAGGTTAAGTTTGTAAATGGGCCATGAAGGTCCACGTTTTCATATAGCCCCCATATAACGGTACCTCCGGATATTCGGTATTTTAATGATTTTAGCGACATTATTCACCGGAAATGTTTCAAATTTGGTATTGGAAGTTCGAAATGGATACTAAAGTCTAAGACAGAAAATTGTCAGCGCAGGTCCACGTCTTCGTATAGCCCCCATATAACGGTACCTCCCGATATTCGGCATTTTGATGATTTTAGCGACATTATTCACCGGAGTTGTTTTAAATTTCGAATTTAGAATTCGTAATGGGAACTACAATCTATGACAAAATTTTTTCTATGCAGGTCCAGGTATTCGTTTAGGCCCCATATATCAGTACCTCCTCATATTCGGTATCTTGACGATTTTAGGTACAATATTTACCGAAATTGTTTGAAATTTTGTACTTGAGGTTCCTAATAGGAACTACAAACTCTGATAGAAAATTGTCTATGCAGGTCTAGGTATTTATATAGCCCCGATATAACGGTACCTCCCTATATTCGGTATTTTGATGATTTTAGCTACATGATTCTCTCGATTTTTTCGGGTTTCGCATTTGCAGGTCCACGTCTTTGTATAGACCCAAATAAAACGGCTATATTCGGTATTTTTTAGATTTTAACAGAATTTTTAACGGATTTTAATTTTGAAAATTTCCAAAGCTAAAGACTTTTAAGTTTTCCAAAAGAAAAAAGAATATTAAAAAATGTCACATTTTCTTTGCAGGTAATGTCTATGTGATCAGTCGCGCGGAGCAGTATCAAATAGAAGTTTGTTCATTTACGGCCAAAATGTGCGGAGCGGTGATTAAAGTTCAGCCAAGAGAAACAATAAAAACGCTCGCCGTGGATGCCTACAATAGACGGCTGTTCTTTGTCATTATGCAAGCTCACACCTTTGGCAGTCATCGATCCCGCATAACCATGACTAGCCTAGATGGTGGCGGAAAACGTGATTATTTACTCAATAAAGATAATACCTTTATTACCACACTGGCCTGTGATCCCTACAAGAAAATCCTTTACTATACAGAATCGTTGAGTAAAACTCTACAGGCCATTAGCTATGGATCGGGTTCGAGTCGCACACCCACAACTCTCATACAAAAAGGCAATGTGGTCATACATCCTTCAGGCCTGACATGGTATGAAAATCAAGTTTTCATTGTGAATATGGGAGCTCGAGAGGCGGTACGCTGTTATCTCTATGGATCGAAGGCGTGCAAGGCCTTCAACTTGAATATTCTCAATGCTGAGGATATTTTGGTGGATGGCATTTCAAGGCAACCGATGAATAGAAATCCCTGCACCATGGCCAAATGTCGTGGCATGTGTGTTCAAACCGAGTTCAGTTACGAATGTATGTGTGGCGATTCCATTGTTAGTGAGAGTAAATATTGTGATTCGAACAATGAAATCTCCACGAGTGCCCTGCTCAAAAACCGCGCCAATGCGGCCGAAGATGGCGAAGGCTCATCGCATGCTGTACTCTTTGTCATGCTTATGCTGCTGGCTGTCGCACTGACAATTTGTGGTTTGGGGTATTTGTATTATCGTCGCAAACAGCAGGGCCAACGTGATTTCATTCGTAACCTGCAATTCCAGAATCCGTTATCATCGCTGTTGCCGCATCAGAGAAGTGCCAAGACCTCAACCCTGGACAGTGGACTCATCAGCAACGGAACGGGAAGTTCGACGGGAACCACAACGGCATCGTTCGATGTGGACAACGATCGGATGTTCTTTGGGTCGAAAATTCAAAAATTTCTTCGCGGTTCGACGACCAACAATAATACGGAAATTCTCCTCGAAACGGCCAAGGTAAGATGAAATGACAACTGTGGCGTAGATGGGCTGATATTTTTTTTTTTTTTGAAAGGGACATATTTATCGCTTCCCCCAATACCAAATTTAGTACCATTTAGTACAATTTTGGTACAAATTTCCAAAACCAACTAATTTTCTCAATCCCATAAACCAACAAGGACCTCAAAAATAAAATTTCGAGATTCCAGCCCTATCCCTTCCCCCAATACCAAAATTAAGTACCATTTAGTACTTTTCGTATAATTGAAGTATATATTTTCAAAACCACCTCCAGATACCAACGAGACTTCTATTTCAAAATTTCAGCCCTATCCCCTTCCCCAATGCCAAATTTGGTAATATTTAGTACTTTTCTTACAAATATGGCACACACTTTC